CTTGTCACTGTACTCAGAGATGACCAAATATATGGCTCTCTATCAGACATTTAGGGTTCTTCCAGGCCAAGTGCAAACTCCCATTTTTACTCTAAAGAGGGATCAGTCCATGAGGGGGCCCTGGCTCAGAGTCAGAGTCCTGACAAGGTAAGAAGGCCACCTGGCATGAGAGGTGAGCGTCCAAACAGGTCAGGAGCCATGTATGGGAAGGGGCAGTAAAACGAGGCTGGCTGGTGCCACACAGCGGACAACACGGACAACACAGGCAATATGTGGAGGGCAGGGGAACCAGGTTTCTCACTGGTGAAAGGAGAATAACAAATGCAGAAAGGAAGAAAACTAGGATGAATCTTGTGGTGTGAGCCTGGATTTAAGGTAGCCAGGTGAACGCCTATCAATGTATAATAAAGATATATAAACAGAAATGTGGAATGTACATACAACCTTAGCTTGGTCCAATAGGAGGGTGTGAAAACAGTGATACCCCAAAAGCAATAGGCACTTCTAGTGTCCAAAGGCAGGTTTCCGCACACCATTCTTCACTAAAAGAAACCAGGACTCCTTGGAGAAATGACTTATTCCAGGACTGAGGCAGTCAAAGCACGAGATGAGCCCAGAACATCTTGTTACAGGAGAAAGCAAGGCGCTGCTCACAGAACGATTCAAGACATGTCAAAAGGACAGAGATGGCTTGAAGCAGCTATCAGCAGCCAAACTGAGACAATATGAATATCAAAATAAGTAACAATAATAACGAATTATAACTCATTGAATAAATCAGAAACCATGAGTCTACACTAACAAATAAATAAATGAACAAATTAAAAATCTGAGACGAACAGGACATATACACGGTTGTAAAGCGCCCCTCCACAAAATACTACTTACAGAGAGAACAGGAATAGCTTTACGGTAGCGAAACACGGCAGGCGCCACCTTAATCAAATAACGGAAGTGAGTATCAGCAGTAATGGGCACACGGAGATCATATGCAGCCTGATAGGATGGAAATGTGAATCTCACTTCGAGATTCCTGACCAAAACGCACGACGTGACTCTAATCTGAATCAACGTTAGAGTCAGCACCTGTGTTCTTGAGCTTTCATCAGCCCACACGGTCCCGCAATGTCTCACAAGATTTGTCACCACCGAAGTATTTCATTTGTAACAGGAAAGGGCAATATGTGGGGAGCAGCGATGACGGGGCCAGAACACACAGGGTGCAGGGAGGACAGAACAGCGTCACCTTCCGTGCTGCACTCACACCGCTCGCCAACAGGTAAGGCCAGCAACCACTTTCTAACCATCTCGGCACCATCCTAAGTGTCCAGAGAAACGTTCCCCTGGAACCAAAACCGCTGCTTTCAGGCAGCACAGGCCTGAGGACGAGCACGTGGACCAACACACTCACATGACAATGAACTTCCTCTACTAACACAAACACCACCCACTCGCCAAGACATTCTAGGAGTGACAGGGGAAGCATTCTGAAGCACACAGAGCCAATGAGAAATTTACTTCAACACCCAACCAATTAAGCAAAGGAAAACTAGATCTCAAGCAGTGATGGTTTTTTTCTCCTTATTCTTAGGGAAAATCTTCCAAAACGTTTGTAATTTTGGGCAATATGACAATCTGGTATTAGCTGAGCTATGGGAAAGATAGCCCTTCATCCACTCATAAAAATATACTGGATGAGATCCAGTTAATTTTAATCCTGAATATTTTCCAAATTCCTCTATTGCTTTTAATATCACTGGCAAGGAACCACTGGAAGAACTCAATAAATCAATATAACTTTTGCACATACAGAAATACCACTCTGTACCTTTTTTCTAAAATATGAGCAATACATATCAAGGGAATTTACAAATAACAAAATGGAGGTGACTTAAAGGGACAGAAAATTGCAATAGTGAAAGATGAGAGCCCTAAGGGGGAACTGGCACAGGGAAGGCAGAAGCTAAGTTATTTCCAGATAACATCACTGTTCAGTAACTTAACCACATCACTCTACTTTCCAAAAGTCAATTGTCTCGGAATTTAGAACATAGAAAACTTTTTAATAGAATAATACATGTTCTTGGTACCACCTTGTAAAAGTAATGTCCTGTGCTCCAGTGAGGGAGTAAGATGTCTCAGTAACGTTTTCGCAAGAAGGGCATCTGTGGCTGGGCGCAGTGGCTCATGCCTATAATCCCAGCACTTTGAACTAGTTCTTTATTTCCCGACTGCCGTCCGAAGTGCCTTCTTCTACAAAGGTGGGAAGGGTCTGCCTGGGAGGCAGTGCCGAATGAACAGGAGTCTAAAAAAAGAAATTAGCCGGGCGTGGTGGCGGGCGCCTGTAGTCCCAGCTACTGGGGAGGCAGAGGCAGGAGAATGGCGTAAACCCAGGAGGTGGAGCTTGCAGTGAGTCAAGATCGTGCCACTGCACTCCAGCCTGGGCAACAGAGCGAAACTCCATCTCAAACAAAAAAAAAAAAAAAGAAGGGCATCTGTATATGTACTTCTCGGGTAGCCTGCAGGTAACTCAAAGCAGTTGTGCATCATGAATTGACTGAAATACCCAAAGGGATTTCTGGAACCAACATGGAATTTCACTGATTGATCCTACTCAAAAACATTTCCAAATTAACAGCTTGCATTCTCCAAGGTGCAAAGACGTGGGACTGAGGTCACTTAGATAATCAGGTTAGAAATCCTTAAAAAGAGGGAAAAAGCCTCACAGCTTTATCACCCTCTAACATAACAACCCTACCACTCTCATTCCTTTATCCTCCCAAAAGCCAATTGTGTAGCTATTCAATTTATAAAACCCTTCAACAGGAAAAACACATTCTCAGTACCTAATTGAAAGACCATGTTCTGTGCTGGGTAAAGGGAATCCCAGGTCCCTGCTCATCGGAGCCACCCTGGCTGCAGCGTGTAACAACAGAACCCTTACCTAATCCTTTTCAATATGGAAAAATTTCCCTGAGAACCAGCTACCTAAACTGCACCCTGTCCAAACACAAAGCAATTTGGTCTCCAGAGTAAGACAGGGAAAAAAGCATCTTTGCTGGAAAGAAGTCACTAGAAACATGAAAAATAAAAACAATCTGGTTCAAACAGAAAAAAAAAAAAGGTAACCATTAGTATGATTAAAATAAGACCGTAGGCCAGGTGGGGTGGCTCACGCCTGTAATCCCAGCATTTTGGGAGGCTGAGGCGGGTGGATCACGAGGTCAGAAGATCGAGACCATCCTGGCTAACACGGTGAAACCCCATCTCTACCAAAAACACAAAAATTAGCCGGCCATGGTGGCGGGCACCTGTAGTCCCAGCTACTCAGGAGGCTGAGGCAGGAGAACTGCTTGAACCCGGGAGGCAGAGGTATGCAGTGACCCAAGATCGGGCCACTGCACTCCAGACTGGGCAAAAGAGCAAGACTGTCTCAAAAAAAAAATAAAATAAAATAAGACTGTAAACCTAATACAATGGAAGGGGAAAGCAAATATATATATATATATATATATATGAAGAAAAGATATCAAATGGAAATAGTTACAAAACAGAAAGATAACAGAAACAAACCGTAACATCAGCTATAGCAATAATGTGAACTGTATTAAAAAACAAAACTTGGCCGGGTGCAGTGGCTCACGCCTGTAATCCCACCACTTTGGGAGGCCGAGGCAGGCTGATCACAAGGTCAGGAGATAGGGACCATGCTGGCTAACACAATGAAACCCCATCTCTACTAGAAATACAAAAAAAGAAATTAGCCGGGCGTGGTGGCGGGCGCCTGTAGTCCCAGCTACTGGTGGGGCTGAGGAAGGAGAATGGCGTGAACCCAGGATGCAGAGTTTGCCGTGAGCTGAGATCGCGCCACTGCACTCCAGCCTGGGCGACAGAGCGAGACTCTGTCCCAACAACAACAACAACAACAACAAAAAAAAAAACTCCTAGACAAATAGTTCCACACAAGCACAAATAGAACTTCCGAAACTCCCTAGGATTAAAACTAAATATTACATAACGCCATGTAAATGGGCCTTAATAAAATTAAAAGTACTCTTGTTTTGACAGAGCATAATACCTAAGCAGGAACTTTTATGAGCTCAATTAGCATCAAAATTTTCAAAGCAAAACCTATTCAAAGTACAAGGGGGAAAAAAATGGCAAAATCACAAATGTGATCAGAGACTAAAAGGCTTCTTTAAATTTCTGGCAGATCCAATGACAAAAATGTTAAAAAAAAAAAAAAAAAAAAAGAGAGAGAGAGAGCACGAGCTAACCTAACAAAGTGTAATAAGTAAATAAAACACCCATGGTCATGTACCTGTTTCAAGCATTCACAACAATGTAGTCTGATATTAAAAAATAATAATAAGTCAGCACTGTGGTGCATAGCTGTAGTGTCAGCTACTAAGGAGGCTAAGGCAGGAGGATCACTTGAGCCCAGGAGTTTGAGGCTGCAGTGAGCTATGATCACCCCACAGCACTCAAGCCTGGGCAACAAAGTAAGACCCCATCTCAAAAACTAAACAATAATAATAATAATAATTTTTTTAATTCAAAGAATCCCCAAAATGAAAACTATCTGAGCATAATACAATAAAAGTGTTATTAAAACCTTATCTTCCATAACTCTAAGAACAAAGAGGAAATCAACTTCAATTAGAGCTATTTAAACAATAAGGAAAAAGCTCAGACAGGATGGTCAAAACGACAGTAAAAGGTAAAACGTTGCAAGTTTGCATTCTTAATCAAGAAAAAATGAATAAGCAATCAACTCAAAAGGGAAAAAAACAAAAAATTAGAAAAAGATAAAAGTAGATATAAAGGAACAGGTAAGCAGAAAGACAAAGAGAACTGATAAAGTCAAGAGGCAGCTCTTCAGAAGACCAGCAAAACAGGCGAGTCATCTAAAGAGCCGAATTCTAAAGACAGAAAAACTGCAAATACAGAGAAGAAAAATGAAGTGGCTGCAGGAGCCAGGCGAGCTCCGCAGGACTGACCTGATAAGGGCCTTCAGGATGTCGGCCCGGCCCACGCGAGAGGCGTGGTACACGGGGGTGCTGCGATGGTGCCGGCTTCCGTTGGGGTCCGCGCCAGCTTCAAGAAGGATCTGGGTACTCTCTAGGTGCCCGTTCACCACAGCCACATACAGGGCCGTCTGTCCTTTTACGTCCACCAGATCCACCTCGGCCCCCTTCCGGATGAGGAAGTCCACACAGTTCCCATGGCCTGCAGTGGCCGCAATTCGCAGCGGTGTGCAGGGGAGCCAGCCACAGCACCAGACAGACTTCTCATTGATGCGGCTGCAGAAGGAACACGAGGGGCTCATGAGAGGCAGCCGCAGGACAGGGACGGGCTGCACTGCCCCCCTCACCCTGGCAGCATGGACACGGTCCCCCTCTGGTTCATAACACCTCCACCTGGGCTCTGCCTTCTGAAACGCTCTCACACATTTCCCCTATGGGACCTGGGCATGGCAGGGCAGGCATTACGAGCCCCATTCCAGGGACAGGAAACTCAAGGCACCAGCGGAATGATCAGCACCAAAACTAAGATCTCTAGTTCTTTATTTCCCGACTGCCGTCCGAAGTGCCTCCTTCTACAAAGGTGGGAAGGGTCTGCCTGGGAGGCAGTGCCGAATGAACAGGAGTCTGGGTGAGAGCCCTAGTCTGCTCTTCCCCAGTTACCATCTGTGAAGGCTTGAGGCTGGGCCTCTCTCTGGGCCTCAGCATCCTCACCAGGACTAGCTGACTCTGTAGGCCCCCAAACTCTAACACTGCACAAATCAAGGCCTGAAGGAATCACTAAGGTGGCACGGGAGCTACACCCCTGGCCAAGAGCAGCAGAGGAACCTGTCCAGACTCAGCTCTCGGCAGATGTCACAATCAGACTGCAAATGCCTGCCCCACCCACCGACCCAGCAAGGCAGCGACCGCAATGGGTTCACAGCGAGCTCCCAGTGTCACTGAGAACAAAGCTCAGGGGCCCAGAGCACCAAACCAGGGCCCAGGAACATGCAGCGGAAGCAGCTCCCAAGCCAGCCCTCGGGGCTCCTCCGCCAGCTGTGTGTAGGCTCTGACTACCCAGGAAAGTAGAGGAACACTCCAGCAACTCATCACCGAAGAAAATAGCAATGGGAAAATGTAAAGAACCAGAGATGCCCGGAGCCTGAGTAAAAGAAGGAGGAGAAACAGTGCTGGGAAATGCAATGTGGAAAGACTTGGGCTGAGACCTCACCGAACTCTATTTCATTCTGTTACATCTGCAAGTTGAATTAAGGTTTTCTTTGGGCTTGAGTCATCCACTTTACATATCCGTGCGTCATCCATCCGTCTTCCTATGACAGTCCTTTCTGGAATTTTTCTTTTACATACTGATATCTGTTCTGATTAAATACTGCTAAGACACTAGAAGGAAATGAAGAAATACATTCCTGTACTGCTAGAAATCCTTTTCTTGGGAACTACGCAAAGAAAAGTTGTGGCATTAGTCTCGGCACAAACATGCAGGCACTGCTTCTATCACTGCACTGGCATGTGGGTCCTGAAGGGAAAGCGGAAACACAACAGCAGCATGGATAGTTCCTGGCTGCCGGCTGAGTTTAAGCTGTAGCTGGGACTCCTGACCTCAGACCCGCAGAACAATCAGAGAACACTCCGGAAAGCAGGCACCGGAGAGCAGGCACCGGAGAGCAGGCACCGGAAAGTAGGCGGACTCTGCTCTCCCAGCAGCCTGAGCGGGGAGGGGGGGCAGGCGTCACCTGCCGCGAAGGAAGGGCTGGAGACGTTTTGTGGGGACAGGCAGTTTGGCAAGGCCAGGGCAGGGGACCACGGATGAGGGGAACAGTAAGGAGAAGGCTGATGAGGTAAAGGGCCTAAGGCTGAGGCCCAGGTCCCGCGGGCAAATGACTGAGGGCCTGAGAAGCTAGAGGAAAGGGCACCAGGGAAGCTGGTGAAGCAGGGTGAACACACAGAAGCGCCTGCAATCGAGAGCCACGAGAGACCCAAGATGGGGCAGGGCCACCACTGAAGAGGGAAACAGTGGTACCTTCAGGAGTGACATCAGGAGGCTGAGGCCCACAGAAGGCCAGAAGTTGCCAGAAGACACTAAGGTCAATGACGGAGCAGGACCTGAACTCAGGGCTCCCTGCCCACACTGTCTGGCTGTCTCCTACAACTCTGCCCATGCTGCCTGATTCTCCTTTATCCCCGTCCTCTAAAACTGGAACCCATCCCTCCCAACATCAGGGTCTGCATCTGCACAGGGACTGTGGGGCTCAGCTTTGTGCAGACCTGAAGGGCCCGAGCACCCAGACCAGCCCCAGGGCAGGCCACTCACCTCCGGTAGCTCTCCTCTTGCAACAGGCTCCTGAGGGTCTGGAGGTCCCCGACGTAGGCTGCATCATGGAGCCTCGTGTCCTCACAGTGCTCCAGCGGGTGATCACAAAACTGCTCCCTCAGCCACTCCTTCAGATTACGACCTGCACTGAAGAGAGGGGCTCCTGTTAGCTCAGGGAGGCCCTGCCAAGATTAACCAAAAGCGAGTGCCATCTGCAGCAAGTCTTCCCTCTCCCAGCTACAGGGCACCTTCAAATGCTCAAGAAATAAATCACAAGCTGGGCATGGTGGCACGTCTATAATCCCAGCTACTCAGGAGGCTGAGGCAGGAGGATCACTTGAAGTCAGGAGTTCAAGACCAGACTGGGCAACACAGCAAGACCCTGTCTGTAAAAACAAAATAAATAAACCACAGAAAATGGTAGAAACTTCCCCTTATTAAACTAGCACACTCCTGACACCAACCCGGACAAAAAATATTTTTAAAAGTTGATGGGGCCCAGGAACTATAACCCAAACCTACTGAAAAATAAAGAAGCAAGATCCTAAAGAAAATATCAGCAGATTGAGCCAGACAAGGTGGCTCATGACTGTAATCCCAGAACTTTGAGAGGCCAAGGCAGGCAGATCACGAGGTCAAAAGATCAAGACCATCCTGGCCAACGTGGTGAAACCCCGTCTCCACTAAAAATACAAAAAAATTAGCTAGGCGTGGTGCCGCGCACCTGTAGTCCCAGCTACTCGGAAGGCTGAGTCAGGAGAATTGCTTGAACCTGGAGGCAGACGTTGCAGTGAGCCAAGATCGCGCCACTGCACTCCAGAGCTTGGTGACAGAGCAAGACTCCGTCTCAAAAAAAAAAAAAAAAAAAAAGAGAATACTAGCAGATTGAATCAATATTGTGTCAAAGAATCTACTGATAAGCCAAACCTGAAGAATACAGATGCAAGAAAAAAAAAAAAAAAAAAAAGAGAATACTAGCAGATTGAATCAATATTGTAGCAAAGAATCTACTGAATAAGCCAAACCTACTGAAAAGTACAGAAGCAAGATCCTAAATATCAGCAGACTGAATCAATACTGTATCAAAGAATCTAGCAAATACCTTAATACTGGGAAACTATGAAGGAGAACCACACTACACTACAAAAAAGACATACGGCAAAATCCAAGGGCTGAGCAAATGCTGCTATCTGCTACACGGGTGACTCCCTACCATGCTGCCCTGGGCAACGGCCACAGGGAGGCCTGCCTAAGAAACTCCTCAGACAGGTGCACTTGACCATAGAGAAATCCCACCTCAATAAAAACAAAGGTTAAAAAATACATGTACGTAAATACAAATCCAGCCCATTTAATGAAGACTATAAAACTCAAAGACAACACAAAAGAACAGAATAAGCCGAAAAGAACACCAAGTACTTGGATTAAAAGATTCAGTATTTAAGGAATTTTAAATAAAGTGCAACCCATTTCTTCGGTGTTTTGTTATCAGATGTCACAAAAAATATTCCAAAGTTTATATGAAAATATAAGGGAGAAGAACTTTTTTGGTTTAGTAAGTGTACAGAGAAAAGACCTACCCTACCAGTTAACAGAATGCTCACCAGAATAAAAAAGATAAATCAAACCATCAGCTGCCCAGAAAGACCTCAGTATAAACAGCTTAATACAGGCAGCCTTCATTTCACTGCATTTCACTTTATCAAGCTTCACAGGCAATTGTGTTTTTTTACAAACTGAAGGTTGTGGCAACTCTGTGCTGAGCAAGTCTTTTGGTGCCATTTGTCCAACAGGATGTGGCCATTTTGTGTTTTCTGGGTCACAATCTGGTAATTCCTGCAATATGTCAAACTTTTTCATTATTATTTTATCTGTTTATGGTGATGAGTGATTTGTGATGTTACTATTGTAATTGTTTTGGGGTGCCACAAACTGTGCCATATGAGACAATTAACTTAATCCATCAACGTGGTCTGTGTTCTGACTGCTCCACCAACCAGCTGCTCCCTCTCTCTCCTCAGGCCTCCCTGTTCCCCAGACACCATATTGAAATTAGGCTAATTAATAACCCTACAACGGCTTCTGAGTGTTCAAGTTAAAGAAACAGTCACACATCTCTCACTTTAAAATTAAAAGATGGAAATGACGAATCTTAATGAGAAAGGCATGTGGAAAGCTGAGAAAGGTTCAAAGACAGGCTTCTTGTGCCAAACGACCAAGTTGTGAATGCAAAGGAAAAAGAGCTTGAGGGAAATTAAAAGTGCTACCCCCGTGAAGACACAATTGATAAGAAAGCAAAACAGCCTTATTGCTGATACAGAGGAAGTCTCAGTGGTCTGGAGATACGATCAAACCAGCCACAACATTCCCTTAGACCAAAGCCTAATCCAGAGCAAGGCCCTAACTCTCTCCAATTCTATGAAGCCTGAGAGAACTGAGGAAGGTGCAGAAGCAAAGTCTGAAGGCAGCAGAGGTTGGTTCACGAGGTTTAAAGAAGCCATCTCCATCACACAAAAGTTCAAAGTCAAGCAGCAAGTGCTGATGTGGATGCTGCAGCAAGTTATCCAGAAGACATGGCTAAGATAACTGATGAAGGTGGCTACTTGGTGTTTTTTCTGCTTATTCTGTTCTTTTGTGTTGTCTTTGAGTTTTACAGTCTTTCATTAAACAACAGATTTTCAATGTGGAAGATGCCATCTAGGACTTTCATAGCTAGAGAGGAGAAGTCAATGCCTAGCATCAAACCTTTAAAGGACAAGTTGACTCTCGTTAGGGGCTAACGCAGCTGGTGACTTTAAGTGGAAGTCAGTGCTCATTCACCATTCCAAAACTCCTTCTGCCTGTGCACTGTAAATGGATCAACAAAGCCCAGGTGTCAGCACATCTGTTCACAGCATGGTTTAGTGAATATTTTCAGCCCACTGTTGAGACCTACTGCTCAGAAGATTCCTTTCAAAATAGTACTGCTTGCTGACAATACGCCTAGTCACCCAAGAGCTCTCATGGAGATATACAAGACTCATGCTGTTTTCATGCCTGCGAACACAGCCATTCCGCAGCCAAAGGATCAAGGAGTCATTCTGACCTTCATGTGTTAGCATCATTTAATACATTTTGTCAGGCTATTGCTGCCATAGGTAGTGGTTCCTCAGATGGATCTGGGCAAAACTGAACTGAAAGCCTTCTGGAAAGGATTCACCAATTCAGATGTCATTTAGAACATCTGTGATTCATGGGAGGTCAAAATATCAACAGGAGTTTGAAAGAAGTTGATTCCAACATGCATGGATGACTTTGAAAGGCTCAAGACTTCAGTGGAGGAAGTAACTGCAGATGCGGTGGAAATCACAAGAGAACTAGAATTACAGCCTGAAGATGTGACTGAACTGCTGCAATCTCATGATCAAACTTGAATGGATGAGCAAAGAAAGCAGTTTCTTGAGATGAAATCCACTCCTGGTAAAGATGCTGTGAACACTGTCATAATGACAACAAAGGATTCAGAAGGCCACATACACTTCGTTGATGAAGCAGCAGTGGGGTTAGAGAAGACTGACTCCAATTTTGAAAGAAGCACTACTGTGGGTAAAATGCCATCAAACAACATCTCATGCTACAAAGAAATTTCATGAAAGGAAGAGTCAGTCGATATGGCAAACTTCATTGTCATCTAAGAACTACCATAGCCCCCAGTAAGTCAGGAGCCCTCAATACTGGAGCAAAACCCTCCACCAGCAAAAAGACTATGTCTCACTGAGAGCTCAGATGATGGTTAGCATTTTTCAGCAATATTTTTAAATTAAAATGTGTACATTTTTAGACATAATGGTATTATTGCACTGTTTTTGTTTTGTTTTTTTGAGATAGAGTCTCATTCTGTGGCCCAGGCTGGAGTGCAGCAGCAGATCTCCGGTCACTGCAAGCTCCGCCTCCCAGGTTCACGCCATTCTCCTGCCTCAGCCTCCTGAGTAGCTGGTGGCGCTCGCCACCACACCCGGGTAATTTTTTGTGTGTGTATTTTTAGTAGAGACGCAGTTTCACCGTGTTAGCCAGGATGGTCTTAATCTCCTGACCTTGTGATCTGCCCGCCTCGGCCTCGCAAAGTGCTGGGATTACAGCGTGAGCCACCGTGCCCTGCCTATTACACTCTTAATAGACCATGGTATCATCATGTAAACGTAACTTATATATGCACTGGGAAACCAAAAATTTCATGTGACTTAGTTTATTGCAGTGTTCACTTTATTACAGTGTTCTGGAACTGAACACGCACTATCTCCAAGGTATGCCTGAATGTGATAAACTGGCATCACAATCAGCGAGAATGGAAGAGTATTCAACAAATGGCATCTGTACAATTAGATACTTATTAGGAAATAATTGAGTTATTCAACTCACATCATAACCCAAAATAAACTCCTGAAGATTTAAGAGTTTTGTAAAAATAGTTACACAGATTCGTGTGTAGGTAAAGAGCAAAAACTCAGACTGCTTGGATTCAAGTCCCTGCTCTGCCATGCTGTCCTAGTGTGAGACCAGACAGGCAGGTATAAAGCACCCCCTCCATCAGGGGGCTCTTTCCAGATGCTGACATTGTTTTTTATATTAAAATTAAATCTCTTTTGAGTACTACTGTACATGAGACTCAACCACAGGTACAATGGGGGTGATGAGTAAGTGTCCATGGTCTCCGGGGTTTGACAGTCCATTGAGTTGCTCATGCTGATCCCGCAACCAGACCAGCCGCAGATCAACAAGCAGGCATGAACAGCTCTTTAGGCCACCATCCCAACCTTCCTTCAGTAATTATCCTCCCCTGTAATTACTCCACAGTTGCAGTTACTATAGGGTGAAAAAGTCCAAAGTCGGAGTGGGAAAGATTCAGGTGTAGGGCAACAACCAACAGGTAAATGGCGGCCACAGGACTTTTGTTGAGCCCTCTTCTGGGCCCCCTCTCCTGGCCTCTGTGCTATCCATTCCTGGCCCTGCTCAAAGCAGACTCAATCTTTCCCCAGCTCCAGATTCAAAAGCAACTTCAAGTTTGTGTTTTGCTGATCAGCTACTCCAAGGACAACTTAACTGCCCCAGAGAGCACTTAAGCTTCAACTGAAAATCTGTTGCCCCTCTACCCCAGCCCTGAAACACACTGAATAACAAAACAGCAGTACATGAGGACATAAAAAGGAACCCTCAGCCGAGTGTGGTGGCTGCCGCCTATAATCCCAGCACTTTGGGAGGCAGAGGCGGGAGGATCACCTGAGGTCTAGAGTTCAAGATCAGCCTGGCCAACATGGTGAAACCCTGTCTCTACTAAAATACAAAAATTAGCCAGGCATGATGGCCAGCATCTGTAATCCCAGCTACTAGGGAGGCTGAGGCAGTTCAAGTTCAATCGCTTGAACCCAGGAGGCGGAGGCTGCAGTGAGCCGAGATCACGCCATTGCACTCCAGCCTGGGCAACAAGAGCGACACTCCGACTCAAAAAAAAGGAGCCCTGTGCAGCTGACAAAGCCCGTGTTTCTTCCCCAGGACCCCTCTTTATACTGGGAAGTAGCTGTTAGTCCTCTTTTTCCCACAAACACCTATCATTCCGTCTTTCACTCTCACAAGAGATGACATCCTAGACCCTAAGGTCCTGGCTGTCTCTGAAGTCAAAGTCAATGCCAACCAAAGCCCAGGATGGTAGATGCTTTGTCTGGCTTGTTCTGGTCACTGCAGTATTCTCTGCTGGGTCTAGCCAACAGCAGGTCTTCAATACAAGTCTGTTAAATGATTGGAAGGAGGTGGGGAGGGAAGGATGGATGGAAAAGCCTGTCTGCACCAGTCTCCAAGTCAATCTTTTGAGATTTTTAAGAAATTTATTGGTTTATTACTAAGAAGGAGAGGGACCCCTCCAAAGACAAATATAGGCATGTAAAGAAAGCCCAGAGCACATGAAACTATTGGCGCTAATGGCAAGCTCAGAAATCCGGCAAGAAGGAACTCCCACCACACCACTGGGAAAGGGGAACCTGTCCTGACCGCTTCCTTCACATCTGCACGGTAGGGACACTTCAAGGTGGAGACTCTAAGTAGGACAGTTATTTCGGAAGGTGGGTGTGAGCCTTTCTGGCTGCCTCCTTTGCTGGTGGGCCAAAGGCCCCTGGACATGCTGTGTCACTGACGAGCTCGCTGGAGACTGCGTCCCCGTCGTCCCTGGTCTGTGCCTGTGGGAGGTGGGAAGGCTGCCCCGCTGTGCCACCAGACACGCCATGGGCGGCAGAATGGTGAAAAGGTGCCTGCCCTCCCTACGGCTACCCTCTGGCTGGCTTTCCTGATCCGTGCGCTCAGAGCTGGAAGGTGGCCCACGTCCTACTTTTGCGGTTGGGTCATGTCAAATCCATATCGGCTAACCGGAGGGAAGTTACGAGCAAGTTCCACCGGAACGAAAATCTAGCGCGGGGACGGCACTCGAGGCCGAGGAGCGGGCAGCGCGTCCGTGGTGGGGTCGCCCAGCACTGCGAGCCGCGCGGACCCCTACCCCTGGCCTGCGGGGCGCGGCTCCCTGGCTCCCCCGTGGACCCGGCCAGGACGGGACCAGGACGCAGGGCCTCGGCAGGGATGCCGGAGCCAGCCCTCCGCCATCCCCACAAGCCCCGCGGCCCAGCGGCCGCGCGCACGTTACCTGCGGAGCCCGGCCCTGCCCGCCCGTCTAGGCTGCCGCCCTCCGCCATGGGTGCTTCGGCCTCCGCGGCCGCCCCGGGCCCGCGCGCGCCCCTCGGGCAAGAAGGAGAGCCGCCCGCGACCACTTCCGGCGCCGAGAGCGAGGGGGCCACGTCGGGGTTGCGGCTTCCGGCGGGCGCGCGCCGGCCTCACTGGTTTCCGGGGCCGCGCAGGGGCCGCACCTCCGCTTCCGGCCTCGCTGCGGAGCCGGGTGCTGGCTGGTCTTGATGTCCGGCTAGGACGTCGCCAGTAATCGACTCTCAGGATGCCGGCCGCGCTGTGGTTTCCCCGCATAAGAAGCCAAGGAGTCAGAAAGCGCGTTGCCTGGGGCAGCAGCCTGGGAATTTCGGTCGGGCGGGCAGTCCCCACCCCACGGACGGGGCGTGGCTTCTCCAGATGTGGGCGGGGCCCCGAGGGCCGTGGCTGGCGGGACCCGGGCCTCGGCCGGGCTGGCTGGGTCCCCGCAGGTGGGCCCTAGCCGCGAGCAGCCCCCGGGAGGGTGGATTGGGAGGCGCGGGGACTCGTGAGGGACCACTGCAGGGCTGAGCGTCATGGCGTGCTGTGGTTTTAGATGAATGCTCCCCCAAATCCCTTCCATGAAGCCCCACAATCAGGTCCGTAGCTGATGACAGCCGGTGGCCGACACGAAGTGCATTGAATAAATGAATGCATTCGTGAACAAGTAATATTTCTTGCACACGCCCAACTTCAAATATCGCAGCGTCGTCCCACCATGAGTATTGGTGTTGGTCCTTCAGCGTGGATTCCCTTGGCTCCTTCCATTCTCCCCTGCTGTGTTAGCGGGGCCTCATGCAGGAGGAGGATTTGTACACAGCACAGCAGGAGGCTGATGAGGGAGTCCGGAGACCCCAGCAGTCGTGGGCGTGAGCTGCTGGCCCATCCATGTGTACAACATTCCAGACGGGAGTAAGGGAAGCCGCAGGCGCAGCCCTGCAAGTGCCCCCGCTGAAGCTGGCCCTGGGTGGCCCAGACCGGGTGGGCCCACTGGGGGCAGACCTGGCAGGCCCTGTAGGGGGTGGAGGCAGGAGTAGGGGTACTTACTACAGTGGTGTTTGGACTTGTTAACAGCAGAAAGCACCACTGGCATGAGGGACAGGTGACTCCGATGATGACGCTGCTAGGCCAGGAGCCAGGAGTGTGCCCAGCCCCTGGCTCCACCACAGCCGCACATCTCGAACTCTTGGAGCTTCAGCAACTCTGAAGCCTGAAACCGACTCACGTGTTGTTGGATGGATGAATGGATAAACGAAATGCCGTCCATCCATACAGTGTGCTGGTACTCAGCCTTAGAAAGGAAATGCCGTCCATACAGTGGACTGGTACTCAGCCTTAGAAAGGAAGGGAATCCTGACACACGCCACAACACGGATAACCTTGAGGACGTTACGCTGAGTGAGATAAGCCAGTCACAAAAAGACAAACACAGTACTGTGTGATTCCAGTTATTTGAGGTCCCTGTAGTAGTGAAATCGTAGAGCCGAAGGGGGGTTGCCAAGGACTGGGGGAGTGGGGAATGAGGAGTTAGTGTTTAATGGGGACAGTTTCAGTTGAGGAAGATGAAAAAGTTTTGGAGCCTGGTCGC